CTCTCTCTCTCTCTCTCTCTCTCTCTCTCTCTCTCTGTCTCTCTCTCTCTCTCTCTGTCTCTGTCTCTCTCTGTCTCTCTCTCTCTGTCTCTCTCTCTCTCTCTCCTTATTTTTTTCCTGGCAATCAAAAAACATTTAAGAGCCTTCTAGGTGTTAGGCATTGCTCTAAGGGGATACCAAAAGAGGCAAAAGACCTCAAGGAGTTTACAATTTAATGGGGGAGACATCGTGCAAACAAATGTATGCAAAGCAAGCTATATGCAAGTTTAAAAGGAAATAATTAACAAAGAGGAGGCACTGAGATTAAAAGAAGTTGGGGAAGGTTTCTTGTAGAGAAGGTGGCAGATACCTATGGAAATAATAGGCTGTCCAAGTGCTAGGAAAAAAAAAAGTACTGTCAACAACAGGTAGTCTTTTTATTACATCATTTTTATATGTTTTAGGAAAAAAAATAATTTGAATTTTTCCTCTTCCTTTAAGCAACTATGCCTCTACCAGTAATAAACTATTTTACCAACCGAGATGATTTTAAGAATAGTTTGAAAATGTCTTCTTTTATTACCATCTTGTTCCCAGTAAAAAAAAAATCTGAAAAATTTCCACTTTATACTGGAATCCTGTTAAAAATACAATTTATGAATACTATGAAGTAAGCATTTTTCTTTGACCTTTAACACTTTTTTTTTCCCTTAGAGAGGTGTAATTCTTATTAGGTACTTTTTTTTTAATGAACTTGGGGATACTTAACTTTAAATACCTTTCTCTATTTGTGATAAAGAGTTCTCATTCCCCTAACCCACCAAAAAATATAAGAAGGTATATGGTATTGATTAATTTATTTTCATAATTTCAAGTCCAGTACTCTATCCACCACTCCACCTAGCTGCTTACACTTAAAAACATTCATAAACGTTTATGGATCAATGTTACTGTGATATGCAAGTGGTTTTGAGCAATGTGTCTGTTTATGATAATGTTTCTAGTACAGTTTATTGAATTCTAAATGATATGTTTCATTCTATATTCATGGTTGTTATCAATTCATCTCATTTTCGTCTTTTTGTTTTTTTGTTTTTTTGTTTATTTGTTTGTGAGGCAATTGGGGTTAATTACCCAGTCACACAGCTAGTGAGTGTTATGTGTCTGAGGCTGTATTTGAACTCAGGTTCTCCTGACTTCAGGGCCAGTGCTCTATCCATTTCACCACTTAAGTGCTCCTTTGACTTTTTTTTTTTTTTTGTGTGGAGTTCAATTAAGAACAACTTAAGGACAAAATCTCTATCCTGCTATTATTCCTTTATGTTTAATATCCTGCAGGTTATTATGCAGATAGATAAGGTGATTGCATTTGTAATTGAATCAGAGTATTCCAGTGAAAGCTCATGTTGTTGTTGTTATTATTATCATTATCATCATACAAGTAAAGTATTACATCTTGCCTCTGCTTGATTGAGCTGAGACAGTCCTGGATAAGGATACTAGCTGTTAACAAGGTCTGATTAGTATTAAACTTTGATTAGGGAAGAGATGGCTTCAAGTGTTCCTGATGCTGGGAAGTAGGTGGAAGGCAGAGGACTTTTAGCAGAGCCCAGCAAGCCAAGAAAGAGATTAAATCTGTGAATACTGAGGAGTCAAAGAAGCCTTCTAGTACCTGTTCTATGGTCATATTACAACAATCACACATAAGCCAAAGTCAAAAGAAGGTTCCTTTTCAATTTTAGGAGATTCAAAATTCTTATTAGATCCAAGAAAGCACCAGTTCTGAGTCACTTAACTAATCACTAGCAAAACATTCTTTCTCCTCTTCTTCCTTATTATTATTATTCTGTAACTGATATTTATTATCATATGAATATGCTATCTATAACAGGTCCTTTCCACTTGTTGTTAAGTCATTGTAGTCATGTCTGATTGGGTTTTTCTTGGCAAAGATCCTGGAATGGTTTACCATTTCCTTCTCCAGCTCATTTTACAGATGAGGAGACTGAGGCAAGCAGGGTTAAGTGACTTACCTGGGGTTATACAGCTAATCTGTCTGAAGACAGATTTGAACTCAGGCAGATGAGTCTTCTTGACTCTCGGCCTGACACTCTATCCACTGTGCCACCTAGCTATCCTATGAAGTGGTTATATTTATATTCTAATCAAAAGCTCTGAATTCCCAATCCTTTTGCATTGCTTTCTTATAACCAGTCTATAATTAATAACATGATATCACAGTGGGGTTGTAAAAAATGACAATTTACTTATAATAAAGTTTCAGGATAAAATGAGGAAATGCATTCATAGCAAACACTATAAATTCCAATTTCCCAGAAAAAAAAAAAAAAACTCACCTCTCATACTTCAATCCCCAAGAGGTCTGAGGGCCTTACTTCCCCCTCCCTCATGCTGCCTTATTGGCATAATACTCTTAAGTATTAATTAATTAATTGATACTCATAAGTAGTATAAGTGATATTTAATCTTTAAGATTTTTCAATACCTTCTTCTGTAATGGAAGGGTGAGTTCTAACCAAGGTATTAGTTCATCAAATCTTGCATTGCCAGGTACAGGGGAAAATGGCTGAAAACCAGAGCAGAAGGTGGCATGACATCAGATTAAGACTAGGAGTCCATTAACTTTACAACCATTTCCTTCTCTTAATTTCTATTTCTTCCTCTTTTGCTTCCTTCTCTTTTTCAGCCTAGATATGTCTTTATATTGTATGTTTATATGTCCCCTTCTGGGAGTAATCAGAGTCCCTGAAGTCCCAAAGCCTTGGTGGACCTCTGGTGAGAATGCCTTCCATTTATCATTCCTATTATAATTAATATAAAAAATTCACATTTACAGCCTCACATAATTTGAGAGTTAGAAGGACATTGTTAGCCATCTCATTTGTTTAGTCATTTTTCAGTCGTATTTGACTCTTCATCACCCCATTTGAGATTTTCTTGGCAAAGATACTGGAGTGGTTTGCCATCTCCTTCTCCAGCTCATTTTACAGATGAAGCAATTCAGGCAAACAGGGTTGACTTGTCCAGGGTCACACAGCTAGTAAGTGTTTGAATCAGATTTTCCTAACTCCAGGCCCAACACAATGTCCATTGCACCACCTAGCAGCCTCTTTAGCCATCTAGTCCAAATCATGTACAAAAAGAATCCTCATTATAATAACCAGAAAATGGTCATACCGCCCTAATTGAACATCTCCGAGCTGGAGAGGCAAGGGATGGGAGTGAGAAACTCATTACCTATAGAGGCAGGCCATTCCACTTCTAAAAACTTTGTTAGGTAATTGGTAGTTTATTTGTTTTTTATTTGTTTGTCTGTATTTTTAGTGGCCCTTTAATTTTTACAAAGCCAGTCACCCACAAAAATCGTAGAAGTTACAGGATAATCTTGTATAATAATCCTGTGTGAGTAATTTTAGAAGAAAATGAGTCTAAGTGACTTGTCCATAGTCACACTACGAGAGGTTTCTCTGGGAGTTAAAACCATGATCCTAAGATCTTATGATCAAAGTCAGAGCTGAGATTTGGTCCTCTTCGAGAATGAAGCACAACGACCAATGACAAAGGTATACTAAGAGTTATTATTTACTTTTTGGTAAAAAAAAAAAAAGTAAGGCAAGATGGGGAAAAGTGATTCATAGTTATATTTTTTGTTGTTGTTATTGAAAGCCATTCCAATTTGAAAAGGAATATCATCCAAACCTACCCTATGAACCTTTTTTGATCTGTCTGGGTATAGTAGGAGGCAAAGCTGTTTCCTTGTAAGCTTGTTTGAGACAGCTGCTGATCTGCTTCACTTTATATGTCCTAGAGAAAAACAAAAACAAAACCAAGATACTTTGCCTTACAGAAAACAGAAGCTGGCTCCTCCTCCTCCTCCTCCTCCTCCTCCTCCTCCTCCTCCTTCTTCTTTTTCTTCTTCTTCTTCTTCTTCTTCTTCTTCTTCTTCTTCTTCTTCTTCTCCTGCCCTGCTGTACTAGATATAAAACCTAAGAGCCACTTGGAGATTGGAGAAAGATTTTTTTTTTCCTGATTGATATTTGTTTGTAGTAGAAGGATTTTTTATTCCATTTTCAGAATTTTGCTGTCCTCAGTCGCTTACATAACAAGTAAGACTTTTTTATGATTGTTATGGACCTGAAACTATGGAATGCTAACTGGCCTTTGTCTCATTCAATTTAATTTAAAAAAAATAAGCATTTATTTAGTACCTACTATGTGTGCAAAGCATTAGGCCGGAAACATGAGGTAAAAAAGGAAAGGTGGTCCCATACTTCAAGAAACTTCATTCTTCTTGTCACCATGCTGTGGATGCAGGCCACACAGAGATAATATAAGGTACACACAGAAAAATCATTGCAAAATGCATACAGATCATTTTAGAGAGCAACAGTGACTTAAGGATGGGGAAGCAGCATGAGTTGACAATAACACTGAGCATTTAAGAGAGTTGGGGATTCCAAGAGATGGGGTTTTAGAGGGAAAACAGTTCTGGCATGAAAAGTCTATATGAGAAAAAGAATGGAAACCAGGTGATGGTATTAGGCGGACATTGCTATGACATTTCAGTGGAATTGCGTTATGTGATGTAGATAGTCCCTCAAATGGTATAAACCGTGACCCGTCATCTCATCTGTTGTCGATTTTGACCATGTCCTCCAGTCAATCCTCCACTGGGCATCTACTTAATATGCTGTCTTATTCCAATGGGAATACATGGAATTTCAGTCTTCCTCATTATCTCATGGTCCAATTTTCCTTTCCAGTCATACATCTCTTTGATGATATCTTTAATGCTGCTTCTTCTATGTAGTTCCTCACTGGAAATGTCCTACAGTCTATTCTATCTATTTACCCTATGCATCTCTCAATTGCTTTTTGTGTGACTTAGCATTTAGGTTCTTTGGAGATTATGATATTCCATGATTGGCAGTCACACAGCATAAGTTGAAGAATTATTTTGTTATTATTGTTGTTTAAGAGAAGGGAAGCTTCCAGTCATGTACTTTGTTTGGTGCAGAAAATTCAGAGTGATGAAACCCTGTTATGTTTGAAAATCAGAGTAAACTGAAAAACAGTGGTCTAAGCATGATCAATTTATTAGTCAGGCTAGCAGTAAACAATAAATTGTCTCAATGGCCTCTCTCAATGACCAAAATCCTGAGTGCATGCTGAAAGGTGAAACTTAGATGTGTCTTCCTTCTTATTGGCCTGACAGGACATCATTTGGACTTCCCCTTGCAAAGGTAAAACAATCCAGATTGGTAGACATTTTAATAAAGAAGTGGATTAAAAGTCACCTCAGCTCCTCTCTAGTACTTCCTCCCTGAGAGATGGGAGTAATCCTCAAATGATAAGATTAGTTTACTGAAGTGGGTATAGTTTGCAGAGGCTTTGATAGAATCAATCTGAATTTGAGTTGTGGGTTGTGTGTTGTTGGTGAGTTTACAAAGGAAATTTCTTTTGAGTTAAATGAGTGGTGGGTGAGATTACAAAGGTGAACAATACCAGAGTAGAGATACAAATTAAAATAATAAAACTGAGATTCAAACAACAGAAAGCTACCTAGTAAAGGGTAGAGGTCATTACAACACAAAACCTTGATGTTTAGGTAAGTTTCTCCAGAAAGTAGGTGAAGGGTGAAGTCACAAGGGTAAGGAGTTTAAACTCACTGGGCATGGGAGAGTATGAAATCTATGCCAGTTTGACTATTTCTTAAAAACAGAATTTAAATCAATTTTCAATTTTATAAATCTCTTTACCAATGAGGGTTGCTAACTCATTTCTAATTTATATTTCCCCACCTCCTACTGTCCCTATTATTGTAGAGGGTGCCATCAGTTTCCCGGTCCCTCAAGATCCCAATTTAGGGGTCATCTTCAACCGTTCATTATCTCTCACAACCCATATCAAATCTGTTGCCAAGACCTGTCAATTTTGCCTTTGCAACAACTCTCACATAAGCTTCCTTTTCTCCTTTGACATTGTTGCCACTCTAACACAGGCCCTTAGGCCCTCATCACCTGTGCTATTTTGCAATAGCCTGGTGGAAAGTCCATTCTGCCTCAAATCTCTCCATTCTCTTCTTAAGTAGATTACTATCTGACCCACTGGTCAAGTATCAAGATGTTTTAATGATTTTTGCTTTATATTACAACTTGAGATCTACCACTGCTAGGCTTCTGTGTTTTATTCATTTTTTTTCCCACTATTTCACTTGAGATTCTTGATTTATTTTTCCCCTCCAAATAAATTTTGTACTTATGTTATCCAGATCCAGAAAAAAGGAGAATCTAAATGGTGTAGTGGAATCAGGAAGACCTGGGTTCAAGTCCTGTTTCTAACACATACTGGTTGTGTGACTCTGGATAAGTCACTCAGATTCTCAGTATTTTAAACAATTCTCTTAAGGCATAAGTTGCAAAGTAGATGCAGACCTGTATTGATACAGGATGTTTCTGGGAATGACTAATAATAATGAAATTGTAGATCCCTACCTTATATAATAACCACTTAATAGTTTGGTTGGTATGCATTCTATTCAGCCAACAAAATGATTTTCATAAGGCATGGGTCCAACAATGTCATCACCTTACTCAATCAGCTCTGATGGATCACGCAAGAAATGCTCTTTTTGGCATTCAATGTCCTTCATAACCTATCTTTACTGTCTTTGTACACCTTACTGCTCATAACATACTCTTCCATCAAGTAACACTGGCCTCCTGGCTATTTCACAAACAATACATTTTATCTCTTGACTCTGAGCTTTTTCTCTGGCTGTCCCTCTTCAATTCCACCTACTGACTTACTTGACCTCCTTTAAATCCCAACTAAAATCCCGTCTTGAACAGGAAGGCTTTCCCATTCTTCTTAATTCTAATGCCTTCCCTCTGTTAATTCTTTTCTATTGATCCTGTATATACCTTGTTTATACATATTTCTTTAGATGATCTTTCCCCATTAAAATGTGAGCTCCTTGAAGGCAGGGGTTGTCTTTTTCCTCTTTTTGTATCTAGTTCTTAGCACAGTGCCTGGCACATAGTAGAGACTTTATAAATGTTTATTGATTGAGTATATATCAAAACCAAAGAACTAGCATCATAATTGAGAAACACTAGAGGACTTTCTAATATTTCTAAGGATAAAGCAAGAACATCTCTTGTTAGTTCTATTGTTTAATATCATTTTTAAAATGCTGACTGTAATAAGACAAAAAAATTCAGGAAATATCCATGAGCAAAGAGGAAGTAAAATACATATCTATTTGCAGATACTATGATGAAGAAACCTACAGATTCAAGTAAAAATATTTGAAATAATTACACAATTCAGTAAAGCAACAGTACGTAAAATAACTCATAAAATCATTAGACTTTTTGTATACTATTAAACCTCCCAGGAGGAGATAAAGAAATTCATTTCACTGTAATTATGGAATATATAAAGTATCTTGAAATGCATTTAGCAAGACATCCCCAGGACTTTTACCAAAATACTTTTCCTCAGAATTATAGGAAGATAAATAACTGGAGAGCTATTGGTGGTTCTTGAATGAACAATGATGTATAATAATAAAGATGATATTATTTAAATTAATTTCTAGATTTCAGGCCTACCAATCAACCTATCAAGGGATTATTGTATAGGATGTTGTTGCTCAGTCATGTCCAATTCTCTGTGACCCCATTTGGAGGTTTCTTGTCAAAGACACTGGACTGATTTGCCATTTCTTTTTCCAGCTCATTTTATAGAGGAAGGAACTGAGACAATTAGGATTAAGTGACTTACCCGGGGTCACACAGCTAGTAAGTGTCTGAAGCTAGATTTGAACTCAGGAAGATGAATCTTCCTGACTCCAGGCACAGCACTCTATGTTCTATGGGGCCACCTGGCTGCCCCTACTGTATAAGTTAGGGATCTGTGATTTTATTAGTATCAGTCTCTCCCAGATGAGGACATTTCCTGCACCAATGCAGGTCTGAACCTTCTTTGCAACTTTTACCCTTAGAGAGTTGTCTAGAATAGTGAGAGTTTGCATGTCTTAACCGGGGTCACAAAATCACTGTGTGTCAGAGGAAGGACTTGAACCCAAATATTTCTAACTCCAAGAGAGGCTCTCCAATACACCATGAAGTTTCTTTTTTCTAGATTTGGATAACATAATAACAAAATTTATCTGGAAGGAAAAAGAAAAGCAAGAATTTCAAGGAAAGTAGTAAAAAAAAAAAAGAGAGAACAAATGGCAAAAGCCGATGGTAGATCTCAAATTGTAATGTAAAGCATAAAGCATTAATTATTAAAACAATTTGATGTTTGGTCAGTTGATCTGTTCTTAATCTAATTAACAAGACCTAGAAACAACATCATACAATAGTGAAGTGTTCAATAAATCTAGGTGTACTAACTACTGAATTAGAACTCCCTACTGATAAATGTGACTGGTAAAACTAGAAAACAGTCTGGCAAAATTAAGCTTGTATCAATAACTTACAATAAACTCCAAATGATAGATCATCTAAATATAAATAGCATATAAAAATGGAAAGACAAAGGAAAAAGGTATCTTTCGTAGTTGTAGCAAGAGGGAAAGTTCTCTATTATCTAAAAAAAAAAGGCATGGAAATCAACATAAAAGAGAAAACAAATATTTTTATTATAAAATTGACAAGTTTCTGTAAAACAAAAAAGTAAATATGGGAAAGTAATTGTGGAAAAGAAATATTCAGAGCAACTTTCTCTGATAACAGTTTAATGTACAAAATGTATTAAGAATTAATACATATGTACACATAAAGGAATAAGAGGAGCTCCCTAATGTTCTGTTGTTCAGTTGTATCAGGCATGTCTGACTCTTTGTGACCTGATTTGGTGTTTTCTTTGCAAAAATATTGGAGGGGTTTGTCATTTCCTTCTCCAGCTCATTTTACAGATGAGAAACTGAAGCCAACAGGGTTAAGTGACTTGCTCAGGGCCACATAGCTAGTAAGTATCTGAGGTCACATTTGAACTCAGGAAGATTAATCTTCCTAACTTTGGGCCAGGTGCTCTATCCACTGTGCCACTGGCTGCCCTTCATTCCCTAACATATATATTCAATAAGAACATATATAGTAGCACTTTTCATTTTATCAAAGAACGAGAAACAAACTATACTCTCATTAACTGAGAATGTGTGAACAGATTCTGGTAAGGAGGCAGTGTGACAAGGTGGAGAAAGCACTGATTTTAGAGATAAAGGACATGGATTCAAGTCTCACTCCTGATGTCCCCTGCAAGAATGACCAAGGTGGTCAATTGGTCTCAATTTCATTCTTTCTAAAATAAGGGATTTGGACTAGGTAACCTATGAGCTCTCCTCTGGCACAAGATGTCTGATCCTATGGTATCTGAATGCAGTGAAATAGCATTGATCTATAATAAATGATGAATATGACAGTTTCAAAGAAATATGGAAAGACATATTAACAGATATTGATCAAAGTGAGCAGAGCCAGGAAGACAATATATACAATCACCACAACAATGTTAAGGAAAAAGAATTCAAAGTATTGGCTAAAGCATTAACAAATCATAGCTTCATGCTAAATCATATGTTGTACCTCTTTTAGACTGATGATAGAGTAGAGGTACAGAATCAGACACCCACTCTCAGATATGGCAATATTTTGATTTGTTTGCTCATTTATTTGTTGTTCAATTGTTTCAGTCATGTTTGACTCTTCATGACCCCATTTGGGGTTTTTTTGGGGAAAGACACTGGAATGATTTGCCATTTCCTTCTCCAGCTCATTTCACAGATGAGGAAACCAAGAAAAACAAAATTAAGTGATTTGCCCATAATCACAGTCTGAGGCCAGATTTGAACTCAGAAACATCAGTCTTTTTGACTCCAGGCCAGGCAGTCTATCCATTGTACCAGCTAACTGCCCCCTTGCTCAAATATGCATAATTGTTATAGGGACAGGCTTCCACTTGGGAGAAGAGGTGGTGGGGAATGGGTTAGAGGTTAATGGTAGATATGGGAAAAAAAGGAGAGTATTAATAAAGTATTTTAAAAGTTAAAAACAATATTTGGCCTAGTACTTTTGAAAAATGCCTATTTTCTAAAAACATGATTATGCTTCAATAGAGATAAATTAATAGAACTATGAACTCCCTAATTCATATGAATATAGAATTATTTTAAGTATAAGATATTAGATTAATTGATATCTAATTTTAAATTTATGACAAATCATTTTAAAAATTAATCTCAAATTATTAAATCACAAAGCATTTTGTAAACTATTCATAAATTTTGAATTCTTCATTGCAAAGTTTCTTATAGGAGGATAACTGAATTTCACTTGCCATTATGGTTTTATAAATATGTGTCATAGTGGACACAGATGCAGATTCCCAAACAACCATGGGCAAATGAATCATTATAGACCATAAATAAATAAAAGGGTCTAACTTTACTTAGGTCTTTGATAAAGGTGATTCATTCCTATTAATGCATCTTCAAAGCTTTGGCCCTTGAAAGTCAAGGTCCTTATTAGTGACCTGAATAATAATTTGCAAAAAGTTTTCAAATTAGTCAACTTTCTGAGGTTTGAGGATTTAAGAATCAGGAACTGTTAAGCAGCATTAAAGGTTCTTTATCCTACCCCCTAATTTTGCTGGGGTTTAAAGCTAGAAGCTGAGACTGAAAGAGGTTAACGTGCCTTGATTGAGATTATATAACTTGTATCTGTGGGATGAAGAATTAAATCCACATCTTCCTAAAACTGATTCAATGTTGTTTTAGACATTGTACCTATAGATCGCCTAATTCTGTCTTCTTTCCTTTGTATCAGTTCATTCAAGCCTTACTATGCTTCTCTAAAGTCCTTATATTCATCACAGAACTATATTCTCTTAGCACGGTAATATTCCGTTATATTCATATTTTTCAATTTGTTCACACTTCCCCAGTTAATAAGCACCCATTCTCCATCTTTATTGTGTACCACAAAAAATGCTTCTATGTGAGTTTTGGTATTTTGGGGCTATTTTTCCCCTATCTTTGACTTCTCTGGGTTATATTAACATAAGTTGTTGATCAGACCTGAATTTTGAATTCAGATCCCTAGAAATCTGAATATCGAGTCAAAGGATTATATTTTCTGCACAAAATGTACACGGAGGTGGAAAAATAATATGGCATCCCTATTAAAGACCTTTTATAAAGCAAACACGAAGTAAAGAGTAAAGGAAACATTACGGGT